ATCTCGTTTGTGCAAAGCAAGCCATGATTTGTGTAATCCAATTTAACTTCGCAATCAGCGGGCACAAATGAACTAACACGAAGGCAAACACAATCGATTATTTAAAACGATTCAATTTTGATGGCCGAATCGTTTCGGGGGAGTCGATTTAATGACTGTTATTTTGGCATCGCACTCGTTGATAAAAATATACTATGGGATCAATTTGATACAAAGTTAAGATTGGCGTGATGAATTCATAAGGTTTTTTTTCCGCTTTTGTATTATGATTTTTTTGTTATTAATGCTTACTGGTATAATGGGTTGTAGGGCTACAGTTATCGAGGTCGTGGGTTCAAGTTATTCAAGCATCCTGGAGTTAGAAAGTTTATGATATCACGTGTACAGCGAATAATCCGTTTCCGGTTGTCTCAATTCAAAGATCATAATCATTTTCAATAGCTATTAAACAAAAAAAAAGAAAATCGATTGACAAACAGAGGAGAAAAAGATACTGAACATTTATGTCTTTCCCTATTTATAGAGATACTTATGTACAAATTATATACATGTACATACATAGGTATGCCCCGCATTAGAGTGTAGTTATATGTGCAATCACATGAGAGATTCGTGTGTGCACTTATTAACCGACTTCCAAAAAGGAGGACTTCGAAAATATAATTAGGTATCTATTCTAAATTAGCCCGTTTAGTAATTTTTTACTTTTTAGTACCTAGGTTTTTAAGTTTTTATCCCATACATACTTTATTCTCCAAAAACTATTGATATCAATAAAGCCGGCCGCTGTTATCGAAGTCATACATTCGTATTATTGATAAACACTGTGTACATATAGATTTAAGCCAATTATATGTAGTTTAAACTAAGGATATATCGATTATGTTGTTAAAAAATATATAGGTATACTAGGTACAATATTTGCAGGTATAATATTTGCTGGTTAGTCTTCCGTGACCAAAATTGATTAAAATTAATTTATTTAATATACGATACGCTAAAGTTAATCTGAATTGGGAATATGCGTGTGATTTAAATAAAGGTGTTTTTTTATAATCTTTATTGCTTTTGAATTAAGCTTATATCAATATTTTTAATGTATTTTTTTTTAATTAAGAAAATAATTATCAAAAAGTGCAAATATACGTGGGAAATTCAAAGTAGTTGAAACGCACGCCGTTGGTCAGACTGATTATGACGTCAAAGTATTATAATAAAATAGCGATTAGCGATTTTGTCGCTACAAACTAAACTCGTCATTTTTCTATGTATGATACTGTGACATCACCCAAACGCGTGATATGGTGGGCGTTTAAAATATATTTTAAACTTTAAAATATCCATATTAGTATGATATTTAAAAAAGAATATACAAAATTTTAGTTTTTGGAGCTGGATATTTTTTTTACAATTATATAACGTAAATAGCTATTATACAAAAAAAAATGATAAAAAACACGGATATTCCCAATTATGATTTTACCATTTTGGTAAATAAAATTCAGAACGTCTTTTAAAATTGCAATGATTTACAGTAAAATGGCTATTTACAATATGAATATTCGATTTTGCTATTTTTATCGGGAAAACCATTAACGAATGTTTTCATACAAAATTACTGCATGTCAATGTTGCGTCGAGTCGCGTCGCGTCGAACAAACTGGCTCGTAACAGCTTCTCTCATTATATCGATGTTATTAATTTTATACTTGTGTCTTTGTAAATAAATGTTATTAATTTTTTATACCTAATATGTGTATGTCTTCTGTACATATAATAAAATTGTTTCTAAGCCGAATAAACAACATTAAATTGTTTTTTGGAAAATCTTATTGAAATAGACATTTTTATCGATACAGAGGTCGAATCTGTAGTTTTTAGAATTTTTGTCTGTCTGTCTGTCTCTCCGTCCGTCCGTCCGTCCGTCTGTCTGTCTGTTACCACATCACGTCAAAACCACTGGACGGATTTTGATGAAATTTGGTACGATGATAGCTGATTATCCGGTTCAACATATAGGATAGGACTTTTTACCGCGGGAAAATATCCCGTTCTGAGAAAAAATACAAAAACTGCATTGTAAGAGTATACTAATATGTAAAACCTAAGAATTTGATTTTTGGTCATCTAAACGCGGGCGGAGCCGCGGGCAATGCTAGTTGTAAATAAATTTCTTTCTATAATTATAATGCTTATAAGAATGCGAATCATAAAGGAATATTGCTAGTTTATTATGCGAAAAATTAACATTAAAAAAAAACTATCTTTTCGGATTTTTTTCGCGAATTTATTCAATCTTTCCCATTATTGCTGTAAAGTGTAAAGCATTCAGAACGTTGGGAACCAAAAATCAAAATAAATCAGCGAAAAAAATCAAAAACATAGTTTTATTTTAAATACTAAATAAATAATTTATTCACTTTTGTAATATTAGTGTATTAATTTAAATAATAAATTATAAAACGAAAAAGCTTAAAAATATAAAATATTAGCTTATTTTAAACCTCTTTATATTCAAGACACTGATTAAGACTACCTTGGAGACGCTTGGAATAATGGTAATTAAAAGAGAAAATTTAACTTTGTTACAATGCAATTATAATAGCCGGCTAGCGCCACATTTCACGTCAGCCACTTAAGTTATTGCGTATAATACACTGTAATATTGTAGGTACGATAGTTTGGAATCTAAACAGATTGTTTAATTAAAATCTAGTGTACCAGCAAAGTATTAAATTTTTTATGGAAATGTTAACTAAAGATTTTCAACTTGTGAGAAACAACTGTTAATAAATATTAAAAGTTATACTTCTATTAGCACGTTGAAAAAAATATGAGAGTAAAAATTTTACGATGCGACAGCCAAAACGCGACATGATGAAGTTAGCTGAAAGCGACATGATGAAGTTAGCTGCATTCCTTTTACAAACAGAGAGTTGTGACATACGGGATGAAATCTTTAGCTATTTTTGTTCTGTTACGCCAAAGAAATATAACTTCTTACGTGCGTACATAAGTACACACAAGATTTTTTTTATTATAACCTGTATCATCTTTGGGAGTTTCCATTCGAAATTGTGTTAATCATGAATGATTTTAATGTTTTCATTCACTTATTAATCACTAATTGTTCAAAGTTTTTAGTAAAGCGATGAACGAAGAAGATACAGAAAGTAAGAGAATCGTAATGTTCTCTATCTATCCGAAAAAGAGAAATCATATTCTATAATAATCTATACTAATATATTATATATTATTAGTATAGATTATTACATAGTATAGATTTTATATATATATATATATATAAAGAGGTAGAGTTTGTTTGTTTGATTGTTTGAACACATTTATCTCAGGAACTACTAATTCGATTTGAAAAATTCATTTTGCATTAGATAGCCATTTTATTACGAAAAGTTATGTAAAAAAATGGAATAAAAAGAAAATAAATGTATAATATAGTTTCTACAGTAAAAAAGGCACGACAAAACGATATACGTACAATAAAAAATAATTAATTTAAAAGTTAAAACTATTAGAAGTACAAGAGTAAACCGAAATAAAGCTTAAATATAAACCTTTATGTCTGTTTGTAGAAATATTTATATCTGTACATAAATTAAGAATTTCCTCCCTTTGAAGTTATATGTATAAAGTAACTCAACGGTAGAGTGACCAAGTGCTTTGTTCTTAGCACAGTTGAAACGGATGCGTGTCATAACGAATTAACTGTAAAGACGTGACCATATAAGATGGAATATTACAGAGTACATCCGTTCATAGTAGTCTCTAAACTACGTGTAGCTATTTTCTGCTTTCGAACAAAGATTTTCTTAGGGTTTTTATTTGAGTACTATTTTTAGACATAAATAAAAAGTCTAGATTATCTAGTATATGTTCGTTACGTACTTTATATTATTTAAACTTAGTATCGACTAGTAATAAATGCATTTTCTTCGTAGATCGATTAAATACAAAATATACTCAGACGCCATAACAAAATGACCAAAATTATTCTATCTTCATTTGTTAAAAAATAAAACATTTAATTTCATAGCAAGCACATGTAAGACATAAAAAAGAAAGTGACTTCTTCAAACATGCGTAACGTATTTAAAAGTCAAAGTTTAATTATGAAGCAAAGTATATACAAGGCTTTAGGAGAATTCGTTTAACGAGATAATATCACTAATTATTCAATTTAAACAGCCATATTAAATGGCCAGTGTTAATTAAATTTTCACTTTGTAACTATAACAAGCAAAAGATTACATACACAAGATGTTTTTCCTGGCTACAAATAGCTAGTTGTTGAGTATCATTACCCAACACGCATTATTTTGATGGTTAACTGCCTCGGTTGTGTATTGGTTAGCATGCATGACTGCACATCCAGAGGTCCTGCATTCGAGTCCCGAGTTGGACCAAGTTTAGTTATTGTGTCTTTCTGTTAATAAAGTCTCAGTAACAGCCCGAAATTAGGAAGCTTGCGGCGTTTACCCCGTGCTTCGGAGAGCACATAAAGCCGTCTTGTCCTACGCCTGATCTCTCACCGGACGTAACGAATTATCGTCCCATCGGTGTTTGAAAATGAAAGGAATAGAGTGCGCTTTTATTCACTATAATAACTCCTGCGCAGTTGGCTAGTCTCAATGAGATTGGCAGCCGTTGTTCCTGTGCTATCTCTAACTTACCCGTAAGTAATATAGTGAAAGTTTTATTTAGTTATAAAATATGTACATATATTGAAATTCTCACCAATTTTATATTGCTGCAATATTTTGTAGTCTTTACAAGCATTAATGAGGCTGATTGTCACAGAACTGATTACTTTTGCCTCGTAATACAACTTTATTTTGCAAAACTTTAATTTGCAACAAAACTGATACAATTACAGGAAACGATGATAAAAAGTTCAGGTAATGAGAAGATATTATTTGGGAAGTTGTTAAAATTTGAAAGTTACGTTACAAATTAATATAACAGTAAAAAGTTATTTGTCATCTCAATTCTGAGCGAAGTTGTTTGAACTGCAGAGTTGTAAATTATAATCAATATTTTTTACTGTATAAGGACACCGTTTTATTAATTCACGTACGAATAAATCAATCAGATTTATATTTTTGTTAAAATATTTATCAAAGTTTTATATTATATGTATTGTTTTGAAACTCATTTAACCCCCGACGCAATAAATGTGTGTTATAAGTTTAACATGTGTATTTGTCTGTGGCATCATAGCGCCCGAACGGATAAACCGATTTTAATTTAGTTTTTTTTTTGTTTGATAGATGACTAAATTGGTGTTATAATTAGCTTTAAATCAAGATAATTCGTTTAGCCGTTTGCACTCTATCAGCTGTTTTCTAGACGGTGAAAGGATACGAGCAACTTCCACAGATCTATTCCATTCGAAACTTGGTATCCCGTCACTTTAATGACATTGCAACGATATGGCAACCTTGGACTGATGCAGCGTCACCTGGAATCTGCAAGATAATCAAGTGTTTACTAAAATGCTGCAAAGATATTGTGTTAAGGCTCATTGAAATGGCTTTAATGAATAGGTTGTTGTGTTGGGGTTTTTTAATTTTTAATTTAATGTATTGTTAGCTATGCTAAGTGTAATTTATTTTATATAAAACCTTTCTTTATTGTAAATGTAAATTTTAAGAATAATAATGAAGAAATATTCTAAACAAAGTCCTTAAATTTATAACAAGAGCATTATCGCTATGACGTCATTTCAGAGATACTTTTTTAATATATTCGTCATTGTATATTTGACCCCATTTTGACCTAGATGGCCTAAAGTTTGTAAAGTATTTAGGCCAAGAGGAAGCCGTATTGTGATGAACTGACGACAGTAAGAATAGTTTGATATAACAAAACGTAAGAATTTGCCTTAAAAGCAATTTTTCAAATAGGGACTGTTTGAAAATTGAAACTACTTCATAAATAACGAAATGTTGTAAAGATTTCTTTCAAGTCGGAAATAAATTATATACTAGCATTATATAAAAATATTACTATAATAACATGCAATGTAGAATATTCGATGGTAATCATTATAATATCTTACGTAATTTACATCAGGTACATTTAATGCTAAAGTTGTTTTATTATATTCGGGGGATTCCTCTTTCATTTTCAATGCACATCCTGTTTAAAGGACTTTTTTACACTGTTTATTATATAATTCAAAAATTAAAAAATAAATATATATATCTGGGTTGGCCCTTACCTTCCTCACCTTACCTATGTATAACCAAATTGATTTTAGCCCTTTTTTACCGTCTCACTGCTGGCACGGGTCTTCCCTCAACGAGAGGAAGCAGGCCATAGTCTACCACACTGACCAAGTGCGGATTGGCAGACTTCACATGTCTTTTGAAAACTTGCGATGTTCTCAGATATGCAGGTTTCCTCACAATGTTTTCCTTCACCCGCTTCACTCGGTTCTATCAACGAGCGCATTGCCAAGTGAAATACCACTAAATGCGTTACCACTGCCAAATAAAATATTCATTTTTAAATTGGTCAAATGAAAAAATATATTTTTAAATTGGCCAATGTAGCAATCCTAGAATTACTTATAAACATTTTGATATATATATATATATATATATATATATATATATAAATACGCAAAGATAAAACAGTAAGTAACTTTTTTCCTCTTTTGTCAACTGATTTTCCTTTTTTAGGGTTCCGTACCCCGAAGGTGTTAATGGAATCCCATTACTAAGCCTCCGCTATCCGTCCGTCCGTTCGTCTGTCCGTCTGTACGCTGTCAGAGGGCTGTATCTCATGAACTGTAATACATGGAGAACAGTAACCGTAGTAGTTGAAATTATCACTATGTATCTATTTCTATTTCCGCCATAATAACAAACAAAAACTAAAAATAAAACACAAAAAATGTTTTTGTACGTTCGTAATCGATTATCGAAGTCAATATACTACACACATATAGACAGAGTAAAAGACATATTAATAAAAACTACATGTACGATGGTACGGAACCCTTCGTGTGCGAATTCGACTCGCACTTGACCGATTTTATTTTTTGTTTAGTAGCTATTGACGAGCATTAGTGTTGTCAGTAACAAAATGTTAAAAACAATATTTTTTTTACATATTTAGTAATATAAAATAATAATTATCGTCGACTAAAAATATTTAATATGCGTTACATATAGTAGATTGAGTTGTAAAAATAATAATATAGGTTCCAATATTACGTTAAGTTCATTACATTGTGACCTCATTTTAATTCCCTAAGGATCTTGGCAACATTTAATTTTAGGTGCAGATAGTATGACGTCACGTAATTCCCACTCTACCACTCTATACCAGGTTAATTGCAAATGAAAATAATAATAATAATAATAATCTTTATTGTCCAAAAAGTTTAGTTTACAATATATTTCATACCTGAGGGTAACTCACACTAGGCAAAGCCTGTATCGTGAGTACCACAATTTGATTAACAAATAAAATATTGTTGCTCGGTTAACGATGCTAGTAAAAGTTATTATTATGACAAAGAGATATGTAAAAAACTATAAAAATAAAAATATTGCTTGTTTCATTTTACATTTACAACAAGTGCATTAAAAAAAAAGAAAAAACAAAAGCTTAATTAATATGAACATAATATATATCTACACAGTTGCACAGTTTAGATAATTGAAGAAGCCCATTACGATATATCATAAATAATTTTTTCTGTAGCATCATACGTTAAAGTAGCGAGCCATGACACCACTTTTGTCTTAGCTTTCTTAACTGAACAATATTTAAAATCACAAAAACCGACAACTCTGTTATATATTAATGTGTCAATATATGGACCAAAACGTTTAGCAAAACACGACCTTACATTCGGTAAAGGAATCTTAAAAACTCGACGGGCTAGTAAATTCTTGTATACCGGGGACAGAATAACGCTTTTATGAACTTTGAGAGTCACATGTAATATAAACAATTGGCGCACACTTAATACTTTACTGTCCATGTAAATTTGAGATGTAGGATACATAAAAGGTACTTTGAGCATTGTCTTAAGAACTGATCTTTGGGCTCTTTCTAACTGTATCATATGTGATTTTGCAGCACCACCCCAAGCCGTCAATCCATATGTTATGATGGATTGGCACAATGCAAAATACACAGATCGTAAGAGGTCTACTGATGCTGTGTTACGAAGAAATCTCATGACGTGAATGATCTTGCGCACTCTGTTTGATAATGATTTTATATGTTCTTTAAAAGTCATATGTTGATCGATAAGAATTCCTAAGTATTTCACTGTATCTACTTTATTTAGTGTATCACAATTACATTGATCTTGGTAACTGAGATTACATGTGTGTAATTTTAGCTGTAATGACGTATTTGGGGCCGATGTAATGGTTTTATGAAAGCACATATAATTACTTTTCTTCGTGTTTAAAGTGAGTAGATTGTGACGGAGCCATGTAGAAATTCGTTTCATTCCCAGTTCAGCCTTCACAAAAACATCAGGCCAGTTGTCGCCCTCATAAATAATAACAGTATCATCTGCATAACAAATGATATCTCCGTCGGTATTGTTGTGTATGTCGTTAATATACATAGTAAACAGTGTAGGGCCCAGTATGCTTCCTTGAGGAACTCCAAAAGTAACTGTTTTTTGTGAACTTTCATAACCACAGACTCTGACACATTGCTTTCTGTTGGTTAGGTAGCTCTTAAACCACTCCAGTGCAACCCCCCTTATAGCAAATTGTACTTCTAGTTTTTTAAGTAGAATTAATGTAGATACTGTATCGAAGGCCTTGGACAAATCCAAGAATACTCCTATACTAGGCTTGTTGTTATCTAAATTAGTAGCTATAGTGTTAGTAAATAGGGTGATTGCATCAGTCGTAGAGCTTCCTCTTCTAAATCCAAATTGTCTAGGGGAGATAAGTTTGTTTGCTTCAATAAAATTTGTTAACCGTGCGCTTACAATTTTTTCTAGTAATTTTGAGAATGCTGTTAGTAGCGAGATAGGTCGATAGTTTTGGGGAGAGTCTTTCGGGCCATTTTTATGTATAGGTTTAATACATGCCATCTTCCATCTATCAGGAAATATACCATTCTCTAAACTGCAGTTAATTATAAAAGTGAGAGGGTGGATGATGACATCTTTTATGTCCTTTAAAAGTTTATTACTAAGGTCATCTATACCAGGAGCTTTGTCGTTGTGTAGTGAAACGATCAGCGATTGTAATTCGTACTTATCTGTAGGGCGCATAAAGAAGGAGTTAGGAGGCATAACATTATTCTGGTGGACTTTAGTGACGAGTGTCGCCTGGTCTGTTTGTAAATCATGTAGTATACGGTTGGCTAGCTCATGTCCCACATTTAAAAAGTAATTATTGCATTTATTTAATGACTGTATAGTATTAATCTCACCATGAGTACCCAGCAACTCATAAGGTTCTTCTTTATTTTCTGACAGGTTGCATATATCTTTTATCGATCGCCACAGTTTCTTAGCGTTTGTTAAGTTGCTTAACAGTATGTGTTTTTCATATTCCATTTTAAGTCTACGTAGTAAGCTATTACAAAAGTTCCGATAGCGATTGTAAATAACACGTGTTAACAAATCTTGTGGGTGTTTACGGGAGAGAATATGAAGTCGATCTCTATGTCGCATGCAACGTATTAAGCCAGGCGTAATCCAGGGCTTTATGTTACATTCCTGACGTTTCTTTGGTACTTTTCTTGTATGCCTATTTATTATATGAAATAATTTATAACAAAAGGCATTAACTGTTTCGTTGACATCATCACAATCCAACAAAGTCGACCAGTTAGTAAGGCCAAGTTCATTTTTAATTAATTTAACATCTTGTTTCATCGTAAAAGGTTTGCGAACTCGTGACTTAGGCATACTCATTGATAGACCCACAATAACAACATCATGATCTGTAATATCACTACAGCATACTACACCAGTAACACCTTGTATTTTGTTTACAAAAACATGATCTAGACATGTTTCTGCTCTAGTCGGTTTTGTTATAGCAGGGTGTAGGCCATGTTCTGCCGTTAGACATAGGTATTCTAATTCTTGATTACATGTTGAAGAGAGAAGATCAATATTTATATCACCAGCCAATACAAGGATTTTATGGAGGTTGGATTGTGCACTTAGAATTGTATCTAGAGAGAATAAAAAATTACTAATATTTCTAAAACAAGGTGGTCTATATACTCCTAGTATAGTGATGAGATTTAGGATTTCTATCTGCAGACAGTTAGCATCTTTAAGATCTGGTTCCGACACTATGGCATTCCATGAGTCCTTAATAAATACAACCACTCCACTATTTTGATTAATGATTTTATGTGTGTTGAAAGCCTTGTAAGTTGGAATTGTTGGAATCATTGTGTTTTCATCAAGCCAGCATTCTGTTAAGATGATGACGTCAAATAACAAATCAAATCTCTTCAAAGTTGTCAGGAAATTAGCAAAGTTTTTATTGATACTTCTTATGTTTAAGTTTAGTATTTTAAAGTTATGTTGTACTTTTATTGTTCCCATACATTGCTCAGGTTCAGGTATTGTGTGGCAGTCTATTCCTTGTAGTTCAAAATCACAGTCAATGGCATTATCAATCATTGTTAACATGTAATGTGGAAAATATCAATGAAGAAATAAAAAGAAAGATTGTAATTTTAAAGACTACCACATATGTTAATGTTATCAAAATGCTAAATAACTGAATCAGAAATGGCTCGTGAAATATAGTTACAAAATTAAATTTCAGATTACTAGAAATATTTTGACCATTAATTTGTGTGTATATTTGGGCAATTAGAGCATGTTCGTTAAAGATAATATGATTTACAATTATCAATATCAGTTGATCATATCTTAGTGCAACTGCGAGAGGTAAATATATATAGTTCAAAAGAATTATTAAAAACAGGGACAAAAATATAAACATTCTAAAAACCTTATGTATAAGATTATATCTATTTATAATTAACATGCAATTTTTACCTACACATAAGTTTACAAATTTAAATTGATTTAGAAAAAACAATAGAGAGATCATCAAAATTTCGAACAGGTCGGGCTGGCTTCCCTTCCGATTTTCGGACAAAGATGGTACCTTGTGAGCACCAGCAATGCGAGAAACCATGTTGTTTAGCCATTCTTCGTGCCTCACGAAAAAGCTCACGGTTATATTTTGTTAGGCGTTCATTGTAGAAAACTTTATAAGGTGTTCCGGGAATGTCAAGGTCTGTGCTTTTTATATTCCGTCTTGATTTCGCAGCCTTAATTATCTGATCTCGCTTTGTCTTGCGTAGAAGGCGAACAACAACTGGTCTAGGGAATTGAGAGTTATTTTCCATGGTAATTACTCGCTTAACACGAGGCCCAGCGCGGATAACCCAGTCTATGTCACCATCTTCTAGGTCCACTCCTACTTTCCGCGCAGCCAAAAGAACTACATGTTGTAAGCTCTCATTATTAATTTCGGGGATACCACATAATTCTAGTTCGTTACTGATATTGTTTTGAGATTTTATATTCAATTCTTGTTGTAGTTCTTTCACTGTACCCTTTAACAGTTCAGTCTCTCTCTCACGATCCTCAAGCTTTTTAATTCGACTATCATTGTTAGCTATCGCTGACCCGAGTTCTTCTAATCGTTTCTGGCAGGATGTCATAGAAGCTGTAGTGTCTTCAAGCTGTTTTTTTAGGGAGGATAATTCCTGAGTTAGCAATCGAAATTCGGCAATAAGTTCCTTTACTTCACTATTCATTCCCGTAATAGTTTGTGTATCAGCCTTTTTTCGCAAAGTGACGTTTGAGTCGTCCTCATTTGAGCGCACAGGTGTTGAACTATTATCTCCAATTTTTCGCTTATTGGCACAGCAATCAGGACATTTCCATTTGCTCCTCTTCTCGATTGATAGTTCCGTAAGATTGATGCATAAAGAACAGAAACTTTTACTACATGTTAAAGATGAACATTTTATATTATTCAAATCCTTAATAAGCTTAAGACAACCGTGGCATTTCATGATGGAAAGCAATATAGACAATGTTTAATTTTATAAAACAGTATTATGCCTTTCGAAGTAGGAACAATGCAGATGTCCGTTCTACGTTAATAGTCTTTGCCTGATAGCTGTGGTAGGTAGATATTAGCAGTTCAAACGTAAACTCACTCAAATATGACTCTTGCGTCCTGACCTTAACCGTGCGATTCGCTTGTGCTGTTCGAAATACACCGTCATTCACTTGTTATTTTAATAACTTTAGAATAATTTTTAATTACTTTGTAACTAGGTGGATACATGTTTGATTGCTATGAAATCTTGATACACAATATATTATACATTTATACACACTTTAACGTAAAATTTTAAAGAAATTATTAACTTTTACTAAGTTTAAATGAGAATATCTAGTGGAGGTTTAACAAAAACATTTTTACAAGTTGACCGAGCGTCAAAGAAATGAACTTTATTATGTGTTTAATAAGGTCTAATTATATATTAGCAGCGCACATTCAAGTAAATTGCTATAATAATTTTGTGTTAGGATTAATTGAAGATTAAACTAGATGATATTCTATTTTCATTTATATTGTGTGAACTATCTTGAAAATTGATCATATTTTTATCTTTTCTCGTGTTTCAATACAAAAATTTGTCAGATTGTTTGTTATAGCAAAGATTTTATCTTATAACCGACTAGTTTTTGGCCGCGGCTTCGCTCGTATGGTATCCTCCTCAGGATGCATTCTATGTCCTTGCCATATTTAACGAAATTTATTCAGCGGTTTAAACCTGAAAAGGTAACAAACAGAATTACTTTTACACATCGATCAAAAAAGTACTATATACACAATCAGCAACAGAAAATGACCTCACCGAATGAACGCTCATTTGAACATTTGAGCGCGCTTTGGTTTTTTTTTATTTGTAAAAACAATTTTAAGCATTGCATTTAAGGTTTAACTTATATTGTTGTATATTTACTTCAACCAGAATAATTACCTAAACACAACTAGTGATAGTTTTAAGAGAATATTTGCATGGGATTCTGTATCTAGCTGGTACTTTTTTGATCGATGCTTTCACATTTATAATATTAGTATGGATTACTTCATTTAATGGTTCTCGACAATTGTCGATCTTTGTTCATCATCTTATAGTGCCAAAAAAATGCTTTATAAATCTATCTATATTGAGTTTAACTGCTAACGTATTCCAGTACTCCAATAACCCTTTATTTTGAATCCAAACTTTTGACGGGACGTTCAAGTTTAAACAAGAAACAAACGAGAAAAATCTAAACCTATTACAATTTATTTTTCGCGCTTAAACTGTTCATCCAAAATTCAGGAAAGGCCAAATTACGTAAATTTCCAAAGTAATTAATCCACTTGCTAATTGACAGAATATCCGATTTAGGGATAAGCTTGATTTCACCCTTTTTAAGAAAATTTCAGTTTACATTTATTACGTCTCTTAAACAAACATAAACTTTCACCTTTGATTTTGTTTTGCTTCTTTAGCCATTTAACTCCTAATAAAATCTCAATAAAGCTTAATTTTATGAAGCGTGAACGCTAATTGGACAGATAACAATTAATAGCTAAGTTAATAACGTAGAAAAGTTGTAAAACGAGAGTAAAACTTTGTAAAGTTCAAATATTAATGGAAACTTATTAAATTATTAGTATATATCTATTAAACAAAAAATAGTCAGCCGATAAAGGAATAAAATAAACATAACAAACGTATAACAATTAATTATAGTTATAAAATCTAAAAAGGCTCTGTATGGTTTGAAGCTTGTGAAAATGGATCCAAACTCCAAGAATTTACCAGTAGCTAATAGCTATTGAAGAGTTCTACTCTCGACATGTTTCCATCATGAGACCATCTCGAACGGTATCAAATTAAAATAATGAAATCCGAATTTGACAAACTTACAAAGTTTCTAAACGATAGGGCTACTCAGTAAGTATTTTAAAAATAAAAGTCCAAGATTTTATTACATTTTACAAGTAAAGCTAAAAACATGTTAAATTGCAATATCTACAAACCTTTGTAAGTACTGTCTTACTTTAATAAAAATACGACAAGATATGTTAGCTATATAACTTGATTCCCTCATACAAACTTTCATCCCTATCTTCACCCCCTTAAGGGATGATTTCCCAGGGTCTCAAACTATCTTCTTACTAGATTTCATCTAAATCGGTTCAGTAGATCCAGAGATTACCCCCTACAACGTCACAAACTTTACCTCATAATATTAGTATAGACAAATAATATTGTTTTGTAACTCGTATTTGTAACTAATATATCGTAATAAACAATAATATAAAAAATATCTACTAAACAAAAACAAAAAATAAATACGGTTATCAAAGAAGAAAAAGAAGAGAAGATAATTTTGTCTTTGCCTATTTATATGTACATTGTACATACTCGTAGATATCACAAGAAGACGTAATCAGAAACCTAATATGTTGGGACATTAACACACACCACCATCTAGTTCCATGGTAAGCTACGAGGCTTGTGTTAAGGATACCAGATAGTTGATACACTACACATATATTACTTTAAATACATACATATTATAAATATAAACACCCATGACTGGAGTACAAACGTTCGTGCTCATAACACAAATGAATGCCCCCAGCGGGACTCGAACCCGCGACCGCTGACACAGCATGTAGGGTCACTACAAACTGAGCCAAACGTGTCGTCCAACCTAACCTATAAACCTAATGTCATATTAAGTGTTTACTTGTCTCGTCTTATTTTACCTATCTATACTTATTATAAAAATAAGTCCCCCGGCCGCGTCTTTCTGTCCTCCTGTCTGTCCTCCTGTCTGTCTGTACGCGATAAACTCGAAAACTACTGAACGGATTTTTATACGGTTTTCAACAATAGAAAGAGTAATTCTTGAGGAAGGTTTAGGTATATAATTTATTATGCTTTTATGTAAATTAGCTGAAATACGGCGACAAATGTTGAAGAGGTCGCAAAAAATCTCGCCAAATGGGAACTTTCCACGCGAACGCCGCGTAAACTAGCAAAGATACAGTTAAGTAATGTACTAGAGAATTCAAAATCTATAAAAATGCTACAAAAAAGTCCGCGATAGCATATCTCTATCTCTTACGGTTGACTTACAATAACCACTTTTATGTTAACATTTTTAATTAAAAACATTACGTTATTTTCAAAGTTATTTTCTTTAGTTCGGTATTAATCCTTATCCAAATGAATATTTTAGTTAGCTTAGTCATTTAATGCAGATTAAAATTGCTCTTTACACTAAATCAATCAGATGAATAGTTTTTGAGATATCGTTGTTAGAAGTAATTAGTAGCGAAACATTTTTAATGCTTGGCGAGCATTGAGATGCCTACGGCGAGTCCATCCCCTCTGCCCCGCATCGCTCGACCGCCTGCTCAAGCTATATAAACCGGGCGATGTAGCGCGCGATCCTAGGATACTTTTTACCGCGGGAAAATATCTTATTTCTGAGGAAAAATACAAAAACTGCAATGTAAGAGTATACTAATATGTAACACCTAAGAATTTAGTTTTTGGTCATCTGAACGCGGGCGGAGCCGCGGGCAATGCTAGTTAACGTTATAATTTCGAGTGTAAAACGAATGTAACTCGATCTTACCACAATACTTAATTGGTTCGATGACCTTTAACTAAGTAAAAAATGGCTACCATTTGCCGCGCATGTGTCTCAACTCTACGACTAACGACAATTTACATGTACTTTAGTTCGAGATGGCTCTCGGAAACTATGAAAATATAACTCTTTTTCTTTTAAAATGAATAATTACTTCTAATGTGAGATTTATCAAAGATTTCTTAATACTTCATTCGTTATATTTGATTTGTTTTGTTTAGACGTATTTTGTTAGTAGTAGATATTGTATGTTACATACATACATACATACATACATACATATGTACTTAATCTACTTGTTTACATTTACAGATTTGTAAATGATCTGCTTTGGCCAGAATTTTTTTCAATATTGTTAAAATATTATAAAAGAAATCAAGCAATCATAAATAGGCCAGAAAAATATATCTTAAAATACGAATTTCATATAATTTCTTCGCGCCCTTATGGAGGTTGAATGATGAAACGTGCTTTCACATGGTTATCTGCGTTATTATAGTAACACCTAGGCTTCGAAGTACCTATACCTAATATTATTCAGGCCCCATGGTTTGTTCTTGGTATTGATCCTATGTCTATGACTAACAACTTTGCATGTATATTATAGATATATATGTATATATATATATGTATATATATATATATGTATATATATATATATATTATATGTAAATAAAATTATTGATATAATTATTTTCTTTTAAATTGTCTCTTTAGTATAATGGTAAACTTACCCCTGATCTTTCTTTTAGTGGTTAAAGTGGTTGGAAAAAAAACCTTAATACGATAGAAAATAAAATGAAAATAGGTCACGATATTAAATAGGTGTTTATTTATGTATATGACGGAATGTTATATAAACTTTCCGACAATAAAATTTCCGGTACTTTCATTATATATAACTACTAACTATACTTTTATAATATACATATATACAATATTTAACCGACATCAAATAGGGAGAAGGTTATCTTATTAATAAAACATATAATTTAAGAGAACTAAGGACTCTGTAGAGGCTATAAAAATAGAATTTAGATTAATTTATTAGCGCTATAATTGATAAATGCCTAAAATATTACTATTTCCTTTGTGTAATGAATGTATGTCTCGTATCATTAATTTCTCACATTACATAATTAACCTTACATGTTAAAAATGAAGTTATTTATAATTTCATCCGCATTTCTTTATTACAAAAGCTCCATATTACCATAACCAATTCAAATGCTAAAAAGCTATTAAAGCTTACTAGAATACGGACGGTATTAATCACGCTCGTTACTACACAATGTGGGCAAAACGTTAGGAAAGGCGTAACAATTTTTTTTCGAAT